GACTTTTCGATAAACCGAGTAAGGACGAAGTGGAAATGAATGAAAGAGAGTTGAAATCTTTGAAAAATCTTTCAAAACATCTTGTTTAAGGGTTTGGAGTTGAGGAAAATTGGAGAAGAGGGAAGAAAGCAAGTTGAAGAAGAAGGTGGGTATGAATCGCTAAAGGAGAGAGCCGAGCGGTCCTTGTTAAATCACGCCTATCTGTCTATACACTTGGATTTTAACTATGAGGCCACCGCCGTTGGAAAGCTTACTTCCGGGGCTTCATTTCGCACTCAAAAATCTCCTAAAGCCAAGTCCGGATGGGGGAGATATGGTTGGTTGCAGTAGGGCATTAACCCGGTTGGATCGAAACTGCGCAACTTCACCAAAATAGGCATAACTTTTTGCACAATTGGAATTTTAATGGGGTAATCATTTGATCAATGATACGAGGATTAGAGAGAAATTGAATGCACAAGTGCAAAGGGTAAGACAAATTCTTACCTACACAAGTCAATCAATCTGTTAATTTTTATGATCCAATTCACCCATTTCAATCCACCATCTTCTCAAACCATGCAATTCATAAATTAACAATTTGATAATAAAATTAGTATGGATAAATTAAGGTGCCATGTTTTTTTATTTCTTTATAAGAGGATGGCAATAATGTTAATAAAATGTTGAGTTTGAGATAAATTAGAAAGATCAATTGAATAAAATGTAATCATTTTTAGCTAAGGGAAGGCTGAGAGTACAGTATAGTGTAATTTGCCTGCCTTGCGAACAAGAATATCCCAAATTAAGGAGAAGAAAGCATTTCCCATATAATACGGACTACCAACAAATCAAAACTTTATGTACATTTACATTTCAGCATCTGTTTTGGTAGATTGAGATATTAATCAAAATTTTGATTTTTTTTTTTTATGTTTTGTTTTTTTTGAATGATCAGTTGGGACCCCAACAGCTCAAATACATGACTGTCCTCAAAGACTCCTCGGATTGCTGCTTCATGGCCCTCTCTTTTATTTTGGATTGATGTCATTTTTTATTTTTTATTTTTGCAATTCTCCCTAAATTTTTTATACACGATTCTCTACTAAAATTGCGTGACTGATTTATTTTCAAGTAAAATATTGATTTTAATGGATACTTTGTTTTAGAGATCTGCATGCATTGTGTTGATTTTGGGGAAAAAAATTATCAATCAAAGCATGTTTAGCAGATTAAGAAATTTTCAACGTATTGCCAACCCACTCATTCGAAATCAATGAGTTTGTTGAATATTTTACCAATTTTAAATCAATGGTTTGAGTGAATAAAGAGGGTTAAAAATACGAAATTGAAAGAAAATATCAATGAACATACAACTTATCCTAAATTTTGAACAAAATATTATTATTTATTCAAAATCTTGACACATAACGCATAAATTAATCAAATGTATGATATTATTTAATATTATATTACATAAATTAATATAAAAATCAATCAAATTAAGAAAAAAAATGCAACAAAAGTGTAGGGTGGGGGTAATCATTTGATCAATGATACGAGGATTAGAGAGAAATTGAATGCACAAGTGCAAAGGGTAAGACAAATTCTTACCTACACAAGTCAATCAATCTGTTAATTTTTATGATCCAATTCACCCATTTCAATCCACCATCTTCTCAAACCATACAATTCATAAATTAACAATTTGATAATAAAATTAGTATGGATAAATTAAGGTGCCATGTTTTTTTGATTGATTACTATTATAAGAGAATGTCAATAATGCAAAATGTTCGAGTTTGAAACAAATTAGAAGATTAATGGAATAGAATGTAATCATTTTTAGCTAAGAAGAACAAATGACAAGGGGAAGTTGAGAGTGTAGTAGAGTGTAATTTGCTGTCATTGCGAACAATAATATCCCAAATTCAAGAGACAACATTTCTCTTATAATTAAATCAAAACTTTTTATCATGTATATTTACATTTGAGCCTCTGTCTTGCCACATTCAGATATAGGGTTGGGGTTGGATGATCAATTGGGACCCCAACAGCTCAAGTACATGACGTTCCTGAGAGACTTCTCCGATCGCTGTTGCTTCGCCCTCTCTTCCCTCCTCATCGACGTGCTCGCAACCTTGGCCGGAGACGATGAAGAAAGCTTATTTCGCTGAGAGAAGGATCTGAGATTGGTCTTGGCGTGGTGGTGAATTGATCTGATGGTGTAGTTCCATCTGCAGATCCCTTGATCTTTCAAAGCCTCCACAGCTCCTACGCTTGCTGCCGCAATCCAAGCTCTGCTAGTTGAACTCATGTTTTTTTCTTTCTTGAAGGTCGATTTAAAATTTAGTAGATGCAAATTACAAGTAAAGAAAGAATTTTTTAAGTATTTCTAATTGGGTTGTGAAGTAGATGGATGGTGTGAAAGTGTTGCATAGAAGATATATATAGATGTGGATGATGTGATGTGATGTCAAACATTGTGCGAAGCTTGTCAGTGAAGATGGGGGAAAGAAACCAGGGGCGGGTTTGGGAGGAAAACCAGGGCGGGTGGGTGAAGCAAATGCGCCCACAGTCTTTTGTGTTAAATTATCCATTTTCGGCCCGGAGTTTGGGAGCAAAACTGGTTGTTTTAACTTCTTGGTGTGGGGTAAGGTCTTAGCTGTTTTTTTTTTTAAAAATGGTTTTAAGGGTGATCGACTGGTTTGTTTATGTCACTTTTTTTTTTAATCAATTTCTGTCCCCCTTCTGGTCCATGACAAATGTAATCGATTGAAAGATCATAAAAAATTGTAGTGTGCTCCAGATGAATTATAAGGCGAATTAAATTAACAGTTTTTATAATTTGGAGCTCGTATTACTTTGATTTTTGACTTTTTAATTGTAATATATTTAACTATAAATTTTGAATCTTGTTTCAAATAAAGACAATTGAAGATAGTATTGATCAATTTTAAGAGTAAAATTGTTAATTTGATAAAATGTGAACTAATTTGATAAAAATAAATGTCAAAAAGATATTTTTTAATTTTTAAAAATTATTTATACTCATTGAAGATAAAATTATATAAAATTGATAAATCTTTTATACATTTATTTATTTTTTTACCAAAATAATTTTTATTATATGTTTAGATAATGATTATGTAATGGGTGGTGTAAACACCCCATTTTTAGCCGCCCTTAAGACTTGGGCACTATTGATGGTTTACTTGGTGGAGAAAGTTGTGCAGGGCAAATGTTCAGTTTCTTCGGCAAGGAGAGAGTCAAATCTCAACTTCATACCCCTTTTGGACCAAAACAATCTTGATCAAAAGATTTTAGACCTTAAAACCCTCTCTTTCAAAATGTTTTGAAAATTAAGTTCTTACGATGTTCCGACGCTCGCATTTCGTTAAATGTTGCACTTTTCGGTAAACTGAGCAAGGACAAAGTGGAAATGAATGAAAGAGAGATAAAATCTTTGAAAAATCTTTCAAAACACTTTTTTTAGGGGTTTGGAGTTGAATAAAAGAGGAGAAGAGGGAAGAAATCCAGTTAGGGGGGAGAAAATGGGCATGAACCGTTAAGAGAGAGAGTCAAGCAGCCCTCGCTGAATCGGGCCTATTCATTTGCATACTTGGATTTAAGCTATGAGGTCACTATCCTTGGAAAGCTTACTTCCGGGGCTTCATTTTGCACTCAAGAATCTCCTAAAGCCAAGTCCGGACGGGAGAGATATGGTCGGTTGAAGTAGGGCATCAATCCGGTTGGACCAAAACTGCGCGGCTTCACCAAAATAGGCATAACTTTTTGCACAGTTGAAATTTTGATGCAAGAATGGTGCCATTGGAAAGCTAACTTCTGGGGCTTCAATTTGGACACTTGCCAACTACCTGACCCTTTTGAACTGGTCGGCCTACCTCCATCAGTCTTGTCTCTGTGAGTTGTTACCAGCTGTGCCAACTGGAGGGCACAGAATGGATCCTCCATACACGTGTATGGAAGATCTTCAAACTTGTTTTTAGCTTATTTGAGAATCTAAGGGCTTTTATCTCTATAAGGGAGGCCCTCTCCCTCATTGGTAAAGGTTCAGAAATTGGTTAAAGGCTCCAAGCTTATATCTCTCTATATCTCTATACTTTAGGCTTAGAAAGTGTTGGTTCTTGGCCTATTGCACACCATCTCTTAAGCATACACCTCCACCATTGTTCTAAGGTTCCTAGAGGTCTTGAGAAGGCTCAAGGAGTTGCTGTCTTGGTCCAGAAGCTGCTGGAGTGCTTGAGCTTCAAGGGTAACACCCTATTCCCTCTTTTGCTCTTTATTTTGCTTCATCTTTTAGCTATACTTGCAAGAACATTTGGGCTTTGGTATATACTGAAAAAGGCCTTATTTTGTGGTCCTTAACATGTTTGTTTAAGAACATTTTTCTGTTGGGGTCATCTACCCCCTTGCATGCTTGTTTTCACCTTGTTTTAAGCCATGCACTTAAGCCTTTGCATTGGCCTTTGTTTGGCCTCTTAGCCACTGAAATCCAGTGGATTTTCAGTGGCTAGCATGCTATTTTGAGCACCAAAATCAGATAGGGGTGACCTTCTCACCCCTTGTCTTGTTTACTAGCATATTTGGCCTAACAAAGGAGCCCTTATTTGTACACTTCTTGAGCATGTTTTAGGCCATTTTTGGTGGGTTTTATGACCTACATAGGCTCTATCCAAAGCCCATTTTTCCATATTAGATGTCCTTCTTGCATGAGTAGAACAACCCCTTGCATGGCCTATCAAAGTAGCACTTTATTCTTGCATGTTTTGGTCAGGTTTCAGTAGGTTTTTGGGCTTCATTTGGCATGCCATGATTCCATTTCTGACTGATTTGGTGGCCTCTCATGTGCTTCATATGGTCGTAGTGTAAATCATGGTTCAGTAGCTTGCATTGCATGATGTTTTGGCCCCCTTTCCTATCATATTTTGGCCATGATCTGAACTAATTTTATTCATATTTTAGGCTGCCTCAGCTCCGTTTGAAGTTTTTTGGGTCATGCATGCATTGTTGTATATGGTCATAGTTCAATCAAGCTTACTAGCTTTGCATATCGAGTCCACTAGCACGCGTTGCTTGGGCCCTTGACACGTTTTGGGGCCATTTTGCATCATATTTCAGAGCTTATATGTATGGCATATTCCCACGTTTTCCACTCTTTAAATGCGTTTGGGAGTTGTGCTTATATGCTTCATTTTTGGACAATTGAATGAGCTTTATTTCCATGCATTTTGAGCCATCATTTTAGGCCATTTTCCCACTGTCTTGGACCTTCCTAGGGTCTATTTGGGGTTGGTTTTTCCATTTGTGTATTGCTTTGTGTACCTCTAGTGTAATGCGCTTCACTAGTTTCGGTATTCGGGCTATCTAGCATGCATTGTGTGAGGTGTTTGCATGATTCGGGACCATCTTGCATGTCATTTCAGGGCTGGAAAATGTATGATTGTATGCCATATTTCATCCCTTGCCATGCTTTGGTAGAGTGGCATTTGATGCCTTAGGTTCGGTCCCTTGCATTGGGCATGTTTGCATGAGTGTTCCTGCCTTTAATTTCATCATGTTTGGCCACTGATTTGAGTGTGGCTGAGGCCCATTCATTTTAGTTTAAGTCCATCTTGCATTGTATATGCCATGTCCATGTTGTCGCATGCTTGATCGTCGCATTGTGTATGCCTTGATTATGCCTTTGTGTATGTCCATCGTCATATGTGCGTTGTGTATGCCATATAGCGTCATGTGCATTGAGCATGCCATTTGTAGTTCATAGCATTGCGTATGCTAGTTGCACCTTGGCATGTCATTCCTTGCATATTTGCATGTCTTAGTTGCATTTCGTTTAGGATTGCATGCTAGTTGTTGCATTGTGCTTGCATGCCATGCCATTTTAGTTGTTGCATAGTGTTTGGAGTAGGGTTTAGTCCAAACACGGGAAATGAGGGACGTTTTGTACTCAAAGTGACGAAACGTGCTTCGATTCCCGCTCGTCGACACTCTTGATTAGCCATGATGGAGTTTAGGCCTTATTGTGTTCATTTGTGCATCCATTTCATATTGAGTCGTGCAATTCGACTCCTCGGCCATCATGCATCGAGATGCGTGATTGATGGCACGAGGATCGAGGACTACACTCCCTAGAGCTTGTGCAAGGACATGGAGAGTAGTCATGCATACATATGTTTAAAATACTTTGCCATGCCCCTTTCTTGCTCTCTGTTGCAGCAAACCGGAAGCCAGCAGCAAAAACTGGTCAGCAGCAAAAACTGGTCAGCAGCCTTCTGGAGCTTGGTACAGTGTTCGGGGACCAGTTGTAAACAGAGGCAAATCGGGGCATCGCGATAGATTTTCCGGGAAGGCGACTCGAGCATACATGCATTCCTTATCATTCAAGACCGAGCTGAGGCAGTCCATTTCATATGTTTTGCATGCTAACTTATTTATTTTAGTTAATTTGTTAATTAATTAGGGTTGTGTAATAATTAGCTGTAATTCGTTATTCATTCGGTTGTGTATTATTTATTCGGACCCTCCGAGGAGGGCAATGTTGTAATAAGTGTGCGTGTGTGTGATGCATGTCTTTCAACCCCACGTCTTTCTCTCTTTTATTTACCAGCTTATGATGGTTAGTTTAGGGCACGTTTCAATTAGCATACTTATGCTCTCATGTTTGCATTCGTTCATCTGTCTTGCATGCACCGGGCTCGGTGCATCATACTAACTGCATTGTATTTCAATTCCGAGTTGAATGTGTATCAGTTGTAGCATTTCATATGCCATTTTAGAATAGCCAAGCCTATCTTAGTTGCATTTTTGCATGTGTTGCATTAGGCATTTCAGCATAGTTAGGATTCATGCATGATTTCTAATTCGCTTCTTTCTTTGGCTTAGAGTACTCGGTAAGTATTTATGCTTTAGCATCCTTGCATGCAAGTGAGTGACTGCCATGATAACATGCTTACCATGAGGCTATTTGCTTATGTGATATAACTACCTGAATGCCTGTGGGTGGAGGTTGGGTTATTCGAATTGGAACAATGCATTGATTGAGAGTTTTAAGCCCACTTGAGAGTGGCAAAATCATGTCTTCTAAGCCCACCTGAGGGTGGCAAAATCCACGTGTTAGCCTATTTGCGAGTAGCACCATCAAACCATTTTCAAATAAACAAACATGAATTATTTTGTTCCAACTCAAACGATCCAGTCTATACTTGTATGCTGTGCGCATCACATAGTAACTCTAGGCTAATAACCGAAATAAGAGCACATAATGTTTTCAAAACTCGATATCATGGTTAGTAGAGGCCGATCTTTGATCGGGCAAGCGGGGGTGCTCACGAAGTGACTTTTCCCAATCATACCCAAGTTCCCGAGCTGAGGCAACTTTGGTGATGACGGACACGTGACCTTAGGCACGAGTCAGGGTTTCCTAAATTTCCCAAAATAAAATATTTAGGTGGCGACTCTGTATCTGGAAAAGCAGTCCATGTTTGGCACTTCTTTCGAAAAAATCTGCTTTCAAAAATGATTTGCCGGATTTGGCCTCTTTGATGATTCATCG